GCAGCTACCCCCTGACCTGTGACCCCCCCCTCCTTTGCAGTTACCGCCTCACCCGGTACAGGCCGCAGGTGCTGTCCGGGCTCTCGAACGGGACCAGCCTCTCGTCACAGAAGCCGAGGACCCAGCGGCTCCAGTTGGCCCCAGGATGCTCGGGTTCCCGGGCCGCAGCGTCGGGAAGCTCGGCCGCCAGCAGCGATACCAGGCTGCCCCCGGACACCGCCACGGCGAAGCGGCCACGCTGGCTAACCGCCCGGGCGGCCTCAGCCAACACGAAGCTGCTCAAAGCCGGGCCCAGCTCCCGGGCCGAGGGAAACACACAAACCCGCGGGGCAGCCATCCCAACTGAGGCGGCTCAACGAACAACCTCGCCCACATCCACAGAACACGCAACGGATTCGCCCGAACCGCGTCCAATGCCACCGACGATTGGTACACATCACTGTCACTCACTGGGTCACTCTCTATGAATGGTCCATCTTCCTGTCACTCACTCGGCTACCGTCTTTGATTGGTCCTGTGCGCTTCCCGTCCACCTCCATGATGATCTAGCCTGCCGTCAATACTCTTATACGAATGGTCCACATCGCTGTCACTCAGCAGGTTACCATTCTCCATTGGTCCATCCCGCAGTTCGCCGTCACCTTCTCCTTCTCTATTGGCTGAGCCTACCGTCAATTAGCATTTCTCCACACTGATTCGTGGCTCCCTTCCACAGTCGCAGCCCCCTCAAACCTGAATGGTTTACTCGGCGGTCAATCACCGGCACTCCAGCTTGATTGGGTTACCACGCCGTCGTTTTGCTAGCCTTCCATTTCTATTGGCTTGTTGTCCCGTCAATCATATGGTCCAATCACCTTTTAATTCGATTGGGTGATTCCAACGCCAGTCTTCCTCTCCGCGTATTGTAAGGCGGATCTAGGTTTCTCACATTTAATTGGTTGTGACCGGGGCGGTCCGACTCCCCAGCCTTAATCTGATTGGTGGTGGAACATCACTCTCCCCAGTAACAGCCCTTTATCACTGATTGGTGGATTAGAAACTGCACAATCACTGCCTTCACTTGGAGCGAGGAGCGGGCCTTTCAGCCCATTGAGTCCGTGCTATCCCTCTTACACCACACAGCCAATAGCATTTGTCCCATCCTGGCTTCTCAACAACACATTCTATTCCCACTTCCTAAATATTGCAATATTGAGAAACATGTTGCTGAAGGCATTAGTCTTGCCCTCATCAGGACAATACGCAAGAATGCCAAATTTCAAACGTTCATAATAATTTATAATACAGGAGGAAACGGTACAGACAGATTTGCAAGTTGACTCTGATTGTTATCTCTCTGGCACAGACTTGGCCAATGAGCAACAAGACTCCCCAGTCTCACTGGCAATTCTAAGAAGCACTCAACTTTTAAAGTCATAGAGTTGGACAACACAGAAACAGACCCTTCAGTCCAACTCATTCATACTGACCAGCTAGCCTAAATTAATCTAGTCACATCTACCACCATTTGGACCATATCCCTCTAAACCCTTCCTATTCATAAACCCATCCAGATGCCCTTTAAATGTTGTAATCGTACCAGCCTCCACCACTTCCTCTGGCAGCTCATTCCATACACACATCACCATCTGTGTGAAAAAGTTGCCCCTTAGGTCCTTTTAAAATCTTTCCCCGTCACCTTAAAACTATGCCCTCTAGTTCTGGACTACCTTACCCCGAGGAAAAGACCTTGGTTATTCACACTGTCCATGTCCCTCATGATTTTATAAACCTTATAAGATCACTCTTCAGCCTGCAATGCCTAACCAATAGATTTTTGTTTCCAGCTTTAAATTTTAAACAATTGATCTAGGGCCAATCATTATCATTTGTGAAAGACACTTCCAAACTCGACTGGGATTATTTTCCTTAAAGCAGAGAGGGCTAAGGGGGAACCGATAGAGGTGTACAAAGTTAACAGGGGCACAAATAGAATAGATAGGGAGAAACATTTTACTTTAGATGGATGCATCAAGAACTGGGGTCTTAATCCAGGAACCTCAGTAATACTGGGGCACAGTTTATAAGCAAGGCGCAGGGGGTTTCAGAAGGAATGTGAGGGAAAACATTTTCACCCACAGGGTAATGGGTATCTGGAACTCACTGCCTAAAAGGTGGAAGAGGTGGGAACCCTCAAGACATTTAGGAAGTAGATTGATGACTACTTGAAACACCACTGTATCAAAACTATTGCCTGAGTGCTAGGAGTTGGCATTAGAATAGATAAAGGCTTGATCTCTGGTGCAGGCAATGATAGGCAAAAGTGTTTTTTGCTGTACAATGAAAACTCCATTACCCCTCTCACCCTAGGCAGAAACAAGTGATTCCTAATGCTGCTCTTGAGAGGAATGACTCTACAAAGAGCAGGAGGCTACAAAATAAAGAGCCTTAAGTTCTTGCTCTGGCTTTAATTTCTGCTGCATTCCTCTGTGTATATTTTCTACCCCTTCTTGTCACACCCTCCATTATAATATGCCTCTTCGCTATCCTGCATCTACAACAGGCTTAGCAAAATGAACTGCAGCACTGTGGCTCAGTGGTTAGCACTGCTGCCTTGCAGAGCTAGGGACGCACGTTCGACCCCACCCTCGGTTGATTGTCTGTGTGGAATGTGCACATTCTCCATGTGTCTGTATGGGTTTCCTCCCACTCTCCTCCCAAGGCGTAGCAAAAGTTACATGGATTGGCCATGGGTAACCTGGGATTACAGGGATGGGATAGGTGAGGGTGGGATGCTCTTTGGAGGGTTGGTGTAAACTTGATGGGCAAAAGGCCTGCTTCCACACAGTAGGGATTCTTTGAAAGCTGATCTGTAACATGCTAATCTGTGCAAAGAGAGATTAGGATAGGGAAGGGAACTAGGCTTTAAGGAGCATCTTTAGGGAGAATCATCTTACTGAATAGCTGAGTGATCTACTCCTGCTCCTAACTGAGGTGTCTGTCTGAATTCAGAGCACAGGGCCTAAGGAGCTGAAGGCTCAGTTACCAAATGATGACCAGAACAGTGCAACAGACCTAAAGCAGATGGGTGCCAGGAGGGTCCAGAGAGACAAACCCAACGACCACAAAGGGATTTGAAACAAGAATGAAAATTTTAACATTAGTATTTGGTGACTGACTTTTGCTTTTCAGTTGCTTTGCTGTACAAAAGATTGTGCTGAATCAGATGGTTTGGCAAGGTCCAACTGTGATATGATTAAGCAAACTCAACACAACCTTTGTTGAGCTGTTTAGTACTGGAATAGCTAGCTATTAACTTTATTACTGAAAAGCTGCTGAGGTACTGTACATAGATATTCAACAATGGCTTACATATATTCAGTGCCTTGAACGTCAATCCCAAGATGTTACAGGGTCATTAACAGATACAACTCAAAACCACATCAAGGCAAATTAGGATGGGTGACAAACTGAGTCAGAGTTATGTTTTAAAGATGGTTTTTAAAGGGGGAAGAGAGATGTGCCGAGTCTTAGGGAGGGAATTCCAGAGTCTGGGTCCTGGGCATCTGAAAACCAACTGGTGTAGCAATTTAAATCAGGAAAAGGTGGATTCGGATTGCAGAGAGCTTGGTGGGTTGTAGGACTGTAGATGAAAGTACTGCTGTACTCTCTTAGAAACATTACTCACAGCTGCGGTTAATGCAGCCAACAGAAACATGCTGTTTTTCCAGGAATTATCCTGCAATGCACAAAAATCTTAAGAAATACAAGGCATAGGCCATTTGGCCCCTCAAACCTGCACACCGTTTAATAAGACCTTTACTGTGGTCTTAACAACATGCTCTCGGCTGCCACTAACATGGCTAGACTGGCACGTCATAAAACCCCAGCCTCCACTGCTCTCCATGGTCAAAATCTCCAAAGTCAGTCGAAGAAATTTTTCACCTCCGTCCTAAACAGGAGACCTCTTACTTTAAAACCACCTCCCCTTGATCTAAACTCCTCCACAAGAGGAAACATTTACAGTATAAATCCTCAGTATTTACTTACAGTATTTGGAGTGTCAAGCCTCTGCAGAATCACGTACATTTCAACCAGAAACAAAATCAGAAATTGCTGGCAAAGCTCAGCAGGTCTGGCAGCATCTGTGGACAGAAATCAGAGTTAACGTTTCGGGTTTAGTGACCCTTCTTCAGAACTGGTGGTAGCTAGGAAAAGCTTGGTATATATGCTCGAAAAGGGGTGAGGGGTGAATAAACGATAGGTGGAGATAGGGCCCAGAGAGAGAGAAACAGAACCAGAATTTGCTGGAAAAGCTCAGGAGGTCTGGCAGCATCTGCGGAGAGAAATCAAGAGTTAAGCTTTTGGATCTGAGGAAGGGTCACTGGACCCAAAACATTGACACTGATCTCTCTCCACACTTGCTGCCAGACCTGCTGAGCTTTTCCAGCAATTTCTGTTTTTGTTTCTGATTTCCAGCATCCGCGGCTCTTTCGATTTTTTCCTTACAGAATTCCTACAGTGTGGAAACAGGCCATTTGGCCCAACAAGTCCACACCGAGTCTCTAAAAAGCATCCCATCCAGGCCCATCCCCCTTAACTATAATCCTGCATTTCCCATGGCCAACACACTTAACCTACACATCCCTGGACACTATGGACAATTTAGCATGGCCAATCCACCCTAACCTGTACATCTTTGGACTGTGGGAGGAAACCGGAGCACCCAGAGGAAACCCACGCAGACACGGGGAGAATGTGAAAACTCTACACAGTCGCCCGAGGGTGGAATTGAACCCGAGTCCTTGAGCTGTGAGTTGCGAGAGAAAAACAGTTGGGCAGACAAAGGAATGGTAAAGGTCATGGAGACAGTAAGGACTGCAGATGCTGGAAACTAGAGTCAATACAAGTGGAGTTGGAAAACCTGACTGATGAAGGTTTTTGGCCCAAAATGTTGACTTTCCTGCTCCTCGGATGCTGTCTGATCGGATGTGCTTTTCCAGCTTCACATTTATTGGCAACGGGTAGAGTCAGCCTGGGAGAATGAATAGCATTTTTTTTTCGAATAGACCCAAACTTTTCTCATAAGACAACCAGATAACAGGTCCAGAAGCAAGCAAGGAGCAAATGAGGATTGTATTTTAAACACGGTCAGTTGTTAGGATCTAGAATGAGACCGAAAGGGTGCAACAAACAAATTCCATTGTAACTGAAAACAAAAAATGCTGGAAATCAAACAGGTTGGGCAGTATCCATGGAGAGAGAGCAAGCTAATGTTTTGAGTCCAGATGACTCTTCATCAGAGCTGAAGTGAAAAGTGGAGGGGGCAGCATTTATGCAACAGTGTGGGGGTGGAGTGTGGGGGAAGAGAGGTTGCTGAAAGTACAGATTAAGTGATCGGAATGTGAAAATGGCAGAACAATGGTCTGTCTAATTGCAAACAGGAAAGGACAGATAGTCCCATTGGAGTGGGGGGCGGTGAGAGGGGAGAGAGGACATGGAGACAGTGAACGCAACAAATAAAGCTAAAAGAAAGGGAAGGAATGGAATTGGGTTCACAATCTGTGTACGTTGTTTCAACAGATTCAATAGTAAGACTTGAGAGGCATTTGGAATAAATACTGGAAGGTGGGAACTTGCTGAGTTTGGGAAAAGAGAGCGTGGCAAGAGTGGGACTAATTGGAGGGCTCTTTCAAAGAGCCGGCAGAGTCACGATGGACTGAATGGCCAGCCCTGTATGGTACAATTCTAATTTGTCTGAAGGAGCTGCCTTCCATAAATTACTGAGATTTTGAAAAAAAAACCTTTTCCTGTTAAGAAGAGATTTTGCACTCAGCATTGAGGGGAAGGAAAGTGATGAAAAATCCTATTCAGCCTCAACCGACTGGCCCTCCTAATGGTGGTAAAAATGGAAATGAGGCAGTTCCCTTCAAGCAAAAAGCATATAGAAAAGCCAAAAGGTTTTATCTCTGGGCCATGCCTGTGCATATCCTCACGTATGGCCTCTCAAAATGGTCCTCATAAATTACATTGTTGAGCTGGAAATTGTTCACTGTCCTCCTCTTGATTAATAGCAGCTATGACAAAGGCCCTTTCTTATTAAGAAAAGGCAGAGGCCCACGATTTCCTGAACTAAACAGGAAAGATTCCAACTCCAGCAAAAAGACAGGCCTTGGTCTCCCACGGTCTGATCCTTTAAAGACATTGGTGAGGCCACTTATGGAATACTGTGTTCAATTCTGGTCTCCCTGCTATGGGAAAGATGTTGTTAAACTTGAACGGGTTCAGAAAAGTTTTACAAGGATGTTGCCAGGGTTGGAGGGTTTGAGCTATAGGGAGAGGCTGAATAGGCTGGGGCTATTTTCCCTGGAGCGTCAGAGGCTGAGAGGTGACCCTGTAGAAGTTTATAAAATCATGAGGGGCATGGATAGGGCGAATAGGCAAGGTCTTTTCTCCAGGGTAGGGGAGTCCAGAACTATAGGGGCATAGGTTTAAGGTGAGAGAAGAAAGATTTAAAAGGGACCTAGGGGCAACATTTTCACGCAAAGGGTTGCGTGTATGGAACGAGCTGCCAGAGGAAGTGGTGGAGGCTGGTACAATTACAACATTTAAAAGGCATCTGGATGGATATATGAATAGGAAGGGTTTAGAGGGATATGGGCCAAATGCTGGCAAATGGGTTGAGATTAATTTAGGATATCTGGTCGGCATGGACGTGTTAGACCAAAGCATGTGTTTCCATGCTGTCCATCTCTATAAGATCGCAGAAGCTCAGTGGGAATGAGGGCTGGGATTGAGAGGCTGCTACCAATGGAACTTCTTCAGTGTGAGAACAGTGGCTTTTCGAGTGGCCGCGATCTGTCATCAGCTCACCCTCCGCAAGAGTCCTGGGAAAGAAGTGAGAGTCTACCTCATGACCCGGGCCCATGAATGGAGGATCAACAATCTGCAGGAAGCTTCATTCAGAAATAACTGGAGCACTGGAGAAAAATCACAAAGCGGCTCTTGGCAGACTAGAACTCATTCATTGTGGAAACTCAAGTGATTGATTTGGAGAAACAGAATGCGGAGAAGCTTAAAGGCTGAGTTTTCGTGACCAAGCATAAAAATACAGTTGACAAAAGAAATCGGGAACATGAGGTTTCTCTCCATCTTTTTTACTGAGCTGGGCTTATTTAAATGTCTTGGAAACCCGACTGTAGGAGAGTCATTTTACAAGAAAAAAACCTTAAAGTTACAGAACTGCTGCATCTTCAAGGTAGCACAGATATAGTTCTTATAGTTGTATGTAGAACTACAGGTCTTAAGTCTAAAGGTTGCAAAAGGTAGGTATGGACGAGTTGGGCCGAAGGGTCTGTTTCCATGCTATGTGGCTGTATGCCATGGATAGAAAGACAGATCAGGTTACTGAGTTGGAGGGCCAAATGAATTACCCCATTTTCTATGTTTATACACATCAGACGTCTCTCAGCCAAATAAACAAACCTGGTTGCGATGGACTGCATTTCATCCAGAAACACTGGAGGAACAGAGTAAGAGTGAGAGAGAGATTCTGGGCATCAGCAATAAATAACAGTCATAGAATCCCTACAGTTTGGAAAGAAGTCATTCAGCCCATCAGGTCTGTACCCATCCTCCGTACAGCATTGCACTCAGCCCTAGACACTATCCCTGCAACTCTGCAGTTACCATGGCTAACCCATCCAGCCTGCACATCCCTAGGCACTACTGAACAATTTAGCACTGCCAATCCACCCTGACCTGCACATCTTTGGACTGTGGGAGGAAACCCACGCAGACACGGGGAGAACATGCAAAGTCCACACAAACAGTTGCCCGAGGCTGGAATCAAACCTGGGTCCCTGGCGCTGTGAGGCAGCAGTGCTAACCACTGAGCCACCGTGCCGTCCTTTGCAGCATTCTTTTACAGAATATCTCAAAGCACTGTGCATTGAGTGTGGTGGATACGGAGCACTAGGTAACATGTGGGCAAGTGCATCAAAAATAGACAAAACTTCATGTAGGAAAAGAACTTTTCATTCTTCAGTCCTTGCCTCTTCCCTGGCTGCTATTTGATGTTGAACCTGTTTTTTGCACTTGATGTTGCACAGTTTTCAAACCCATATCAACTCCATCAAGACTGCCTACTTCCACCTTTGTGATATCACCCATGAGGCCTCTTTTGGCGTACTGTGTCCAGTTCTGGTTGCCCTGTTATAGGAATGGTATTATTAAATTGGAGATGGTTTACCAGGATGTTGCCTGGAATGGAGGGTTTGAGGTATAAAAACAGGCTGGATAAACTGGAACTTTCTCCACTGAAAAGATTGAGGGGTGACCTTACAGAGGTTTATGAAATCATGAGGGGCATAGATAAGGTGAATAGCAAAGGTCTTTCCCCTAGGGTAGGGGAATTCAAAACAAGGGGGCATATTTTTAAGGTGAAAGGAGAAAGATGTGATCCATAGCCAATTAAATACTTCTTGAAGTGCAGTCACTGGTGTAATGTACAAAACAAGGCATTTACCATTTTAATTAAAATGAAAACACTCAGATGTATTTGACAGTGTGCATCCAGCCTGTTTTTCAAAACAGAATCAGCTGGTAATCACTCATATTTTAGGGATTAGTGTACAGACTCAAATTTGTATTGTAATCCCATAGAGTCACTATTCCTTACTCAAATAGAATGTGTGCTTAAGGCACATTGCAGATTGTAATGTATACAAAGTATACTTACCTGAGTGTGTGGTGCCAGTGAACACAGTTAATGTCTCTAAATGTGACATTGGAACTAAAGTCTGGTGAAATCCCACTTCTGCCATGATAAGTTCAGCTTCCTCCTCCTTCTTAACCATTTGGGTACCATTCCATAGCCAAGAATAATCTTCACTCTCACATAGTGAATATTTAAGGCACACAATGTTTAATGGCACTTCTACCAAGTAAGACAGAAGAATACAACACTCTGGTACTGCAACATGTTCACAGGTATAGGCAGGTGTGACCAATATGGTTAAAACATGTCGAGGAAAATTAACGTTGACGCACCAATCTGTGACACGGATGGAAACTGATACTCTAACAAAACCATTGCTTCGGATTTATGTATCACTCTTGTTACTTCTAAACATCAAGGTTTCTCACCTTGTATACCATTCTTTGAGTCAGAACACCCCATATTTACTCATTAACAGGTGGCTCAAATACATTGTTCCTGTTAAAAAGTTTCATTTGTGCTTCTCCAATCAGTACAATCCAAAGATATTAGGAAACTGAAATGCATTTTAATTCTGCTGAGCCCTATAGCAAATCTGTACCTTCCAATAGCATCCTCACAGCAGATAAACCAGAACAACAAGACAAATCCTATGAGCTTTTAATATTCCTTATATGAGAATTTTCACATTCTGTATATTAAGAAAATATATTTCTTTAAAGGGTGTTAGCTTTCAGAACTCATTACTAGTGTCTTTGACTAGTCTTGCATTAGATTCATAAATTATCAAGATTTTGCTAAAAATAAAATCCCTTTAATTCCAGAGTTTAGGTTCTAATAGTGACACACAAGCATAATTCAAGTGGACCAAAAGGTGTACTCATAGAAACATTTTGTAACCCTGCCGCCACTAATAATGTCTATGAAGTAGAAGTGAGGAAAGTACAGGCAGGAGCCTCGTAGCTTGGTCCGCACATTGGGGCCTGGGCTCTGACTTTGCCCTGCCCCTCTCTCCCCTTAAATAAAACCCTGGGCAATTTAGGAGATGGAACCTTAATCACCATCTCCAGCTCCCCCCAACCCCTTTCTTTCCCCATGTCCCAGGCATGTTCTGTTGGTCCCCAGCCATGTTTCGGGTCTAGGGACGAGCAGAAGGGATTCCGGGTTATTTGTGTGTGCTGAATTGCAGCAAGGATGCTGTGATCGCCTGCTAATGTCCTGACCCCTAGAAAAATAACAACGGGGCCTCACACAGGCCATTCTTCAGATGGGGCTGTACTGTTGCAGGGCAGACAGGCTGCAGTGCAAGACTTGGCAAATTTTAATAAACTAGACTCTTGTGCCGGTTCCTAAATGTAACGATTAAAGAGTTTCCTATGATGCAGCACACTGCTATCTCACTGAGCTGCACAGGAAATCATTTGCACCATCCGTAAGAAACCTCCCATTGCTGACTGCTCCTTTTAGGTTGAGAATAGTCTCGCACTAACCTCGGAAACACTTTGCTGACTCAGTTACTTGGCGAGTGGGGAAAACATGCAGACAGTTAACAGTTGAGAGGGTATCAGCGACCAGAGATAATTCTGTTTCATGCAAACGAGGCTGCTCAAAGTATGGCCAGACTGTGGATAGTTAGAGAGAACACAGCACTGACTTAACTGGTCTATTTAAAGCAGTTAGTCGCCGTTGTGTGGAATTAGCCAACTGTGATGAGGATAGCATCAATCGCACATCCAATGAGCCCTGTGACCCTGAATTAGGGGGTAAAGTTCCAGGTAGGCTGTACCATTCCTGATTATTGTCCAGTTACTACTCCTGCCAGAGTGACAGCAATCAAAACCCCACACACACACGAGTGAAGAACATCTTACCAACAAGGAGTTAGCTAGGAATCGGGACGGAGCAGGGAATCATTAGGAGGAAGTATCTCTGATGGACGTAGAGAGAGGGGAAAAGAACAGAGGCAAATCTACACTAGCGTTTATACACTTCAACTGAGCTGTTCTAACTTAATTGAGGTAATAGTAATGCATAGCCCAGGGCTTGGTCTGTCGGGAAACATTTAAAGTAATAGTGACAGCGAATGCTAATGGCAGCATTTCCCTTCAATGTCTGTGCTCGTAGTGTAGTTCTGTTCCAGGTGTCACTGGGCCTGTGTTTACAGCAGCTTCTGTTATGGAGTTGGCACCAGAGCAAGGAATCAGCATTGTTTGCCCATCTTGTCTAGCGAGGGGAATAGCAAATTCATTCTATTAGGGAGTGAAACAGTCCCAGAGCAATCAAACGCGCATCAGAACACTTTTACTTTCCCTCCTCTACTAGGACAGAGCCTAATCTTCCAGTCAACGCCTATACAGTGTGGCAAAGACAGAATTCAAAGCTCACTACGTGGAGACTGGAAGGCAGGTACGCACACTGTACCTAGGGTACCCCGCCTTGCAGCAAAGCCAGGGACTGACCCCAGAGTCGAGAACTGCTGGGACTGTGGTCCCTGACGTAGCAGGTCGGGTTTTGTTAACCGTAAATGGAAAGTTTGCCTTTTGACTGTCAAAATGTGGGTGCAGATTAATGAGATTACCCCGATTTAACACAAAAATTATTTTAAAACTTTAAAAAGTGTTCAGGTAATATTTTTGGAGTTTTTATGAGTGGCAAACAGAAAAGGGGGTGGGGGAAGGAAATGATGGGCAAGAGCGAAGGATATATTTTGTTTCAACACACAAATCATATAAGCCCCCGTTAGTGTATGTATTTCATCTATTGTGGATCAATAGATGTAGGAATACAAAGAGATTAACTGGCAAGAACTCTGGTCAAACTACTTCAAACTCAACAAATCATTTCCCTTCAATGTTTTCATTCACCATACACTGAGAAAACATAGTTGGCCATGTTGAGCATTAACGCCCTAACCATTTTAAGGAAGAAATCTGTTTAGTTTCCAGCTGCGGACCACTGAATAGTGAATGAAGCCTTTGTCAGCCCCTCTCAAAACAGCGCAGTGAATGCACAGACACTGTTGTAACAGGTTAATGAGCCACACTCATTGTTGTGAAGAATTCACCTGGGGCAATCTGGGCCACAGAATCTCATTCACCTCCCTGCAACAACACAAAAAAGTCTCCCCAACCACTTGCAGTTACATGCGAGAAAGCCACGTTCAGAGGTCAGGGTGGAAGGAGGAAGGGAGCACATGGTGACAATAACCATGACTGGGGCTTCCTTCTGTATAGTGACCGCTCTGTGATAGCAAGAGCACGTAAATTAATTTTTTAAAAATCAGATAATGGAGAGATTGGAGGTTTAACACAGAATGGTTGACTGTGGGCTGACTGGAGTGAGGGGGAAGGGAGAAAAAATTGTTAATGCTCACGTTTGAAACCAGTGTTCCTGTAGAGAGTTAACAACTTAGTGCAACGTCTGGACTCTGTGAGCACGGCTTATTTGTAAGGGCACAATGGAGCAGATGAAGTAGGCTGTACGGAAGTTTAATAGCCTCGTGAAAAGGAATTGGATCTGTCCATCCCTCCTCCTCTAGCATCAGTATTGTTTCTTCTAATTTATGAATTCTTGATAGGACATTGGAACAGTGGGCACTGAGTGTAGATTGGAGCCCAACTTTAGAGCCATTCCAACAGTCACTTTGAGAAACCAGAGTTCGCTCTATATGACAAAGAGTACTCAGAAGGGATCACACCCAGCTCTCTAAACTTGGCGAAGTGGAGTTTCATTTCACAGGGCCTTTTGTTTTCTTGCTCCGGGGAGGTTTGGATTCAACTCTTCATATAAGTCAAGCCCTTCCTTCATCTTTTTCCAGGTAATTTAAAAAAAAAATTGTTAGCTCCCCAGTACTCGCTTTCTTAAACTATAGGTGGTAATTTCCAGCCAGGATAGTGTCATAAACTTTCTTGTCAAGGAGGATGTACTTCCCCAGTTTGGAATCCAGGAAGTACAGTGTGTCACTTGTCTGATGCAAGTCAAAACCTTCTTTTCGCAATCTTGTCTTCTGGATTTTGAAAGTACCTGGAACAATACAAAGATCTGATTACCAAATCTGCCTGGGTTAGGATGCCTATATTCACAACCTGAATGCACTCATTTCCGCAATCAAAATCATTTGAGAGCTACTGTTGAGAGAAATTCATCCCAAATGTTCAGAGAATATCCACAAAAAGAGAGAGAGAAGACAAATACAGGAGAAACTCAGCAGGCCTGGCGGCATCTGTGGAGACAGAAATGGAGTCAAAGTTTCAGTTCTAGTGGCAGGTCTAAGAACTGAGACCGTCACTTTGTTCCTCCCTCTATACATGCTGTCCATCTCCAGGATCTCCACACTGGCACTGGATTTAAAAAAGGACCACATTCTCACCTAGTCGATAAAGCTTTGGGAAACAATGGAACACAGAAACCACAATAACAGAATGTCACTTGAAGCTGCACCAGGTCAGAATTTGAAACAGGAGGGATTTATTTGTGATAACAAGGTGTAGAGCTGGATGAACACAGCAGGCCAAGCAGCATCACAGGAGCAGGAAGGCTGACGTTTCGG